TCTTACATTAAATTATATTCACAAAAGAATTATAAATATAAATAAAGAATCTCATTAAATAAATTTTTCATTCTTTAATTCTAATTGAAGTTTTTTACTTGAAATTTCTTTAAATTGAAAATTTCTTAAATTTTTACACGTAAAAAGTGTCTATTCGAGTGTGAAAATAGTTTTCTGCTATCTACGCTATCTCACGATAAAAAGAACACGTAAAAGTAAATATGTAGATTCTTGTACAAACGTTTTCTGTGATTTTTATCGAACTAATTGGTCTATAATGCGGCACTGGGAAACAGGGAACTTGCAGCTGTCTTAAAGCAAACGTGGACCCACAGAAGCTTAATCTGTTCGCCAAGCTTCAGGAAACTGAGAGACCCCAACACCGTTGAAACGTTCATCCGTTCAAAATGCTATAACCGGAACGTGTTAATCTGTCTCCGAAGTTCCTCTGTACGGAAATCATGCAAATCTACGTATATGCAGTTACCTCTATGCACGTGTTTGCACGATATCCGCAATATTTGTTGAACGTGGACAGGCAATTAATGTTTATCTTTCTACGTGTAAATTCTCTGATAATAAACGTGATCTGGTTAGTCCCATGGGTTTCGCGTACTCCGCTCAGTACTCAACACGTTGATAGGGCACGTTTGCGACGGAAATTTTAATTATTATGTTAACCAAATATAAAGTCATATTCATTTCAAAATATCGTACACTCGCGGGTTCCGCGATTATTGCACACAGATAGGTTCCCCTTCATCTATTACCTTTGGTAATTCAATGCGAGATTCTGTGAAATATTTTTAGTTTGCTCTTTGGGCCATGGGAGTTGTGATAATTTCATTGAATTCAAAGCAATAATCCTATTTCGTTGCCTGTAATGACTGTTCTCTATAAATTGAAATTCTTTTTATGCACAATATACATTGTGCTTTCGTGTATTTTTTTTAAATTGGAAATATGAATATTTTAGATCGCAAACAAATGTTTGGGACATTTTATAAACCTTCTTCTAATTAAACAAATTTTAACACTAAAACTACCGAGCAGTTCAATTGACCTTCCGAAATTTCTTTATAGAAACTCTAAGAGTACATTTATCGAGATTTCAATTGATCTACAATTCAGTTTCAGTTTACAGTGGGTCATATTGACCCGTCTGGTAGCTTTAGTGTTAAAAAGGCACTTATATTTATCTATTAATTCATGTATATCATGGATATTTTAATACAATTATTTCGGTACATTAAAAAGTCAAATACTTAAAACTTTTTAACTTTATTTTCATTATCATTGCTTATGTGCAATATTTATTCAACACACTTCCAGAAATAACGTGGAATTTAATAAAACGTATATCTTTGAAGCTGCCGACAAATAAATGTGAATTACCGTAATCATCAAAGCTTATGTTCGACAGAACAAATTTAAAATATCGAATGAGGATTGCGTTATTTCAGTGAAAGCTTCGTTAAAAAAAAGCTGCTTTGCCTCTACACTCCATTCATTCAATCTCTATTCTATGTTATATTAAAACAGTCTGTACACCTTTCTTTTTTATTGTGAATCTTTTTTCGTGGATTTTTTTATTGTGGGTGAATGGCCCACATTCAGGTTAAAAGAATAGCAGTTAGAAATTAAATTGATGTTCTGAACCACTTTTTGAACTTTAATTATTGGCATTTAAGGAACCATTACATAATCTCCAAAGTATTAGTATTGTTACAACAGGTTTAAAAAATATTTTTGTGATCCATTAAACGATTACATTACAGAGTGAATTACCCTTACCAACTTCAGTTGACCACCATACTGGACACTAATGTATTCCTCGAAAATTTTTATAATTCATAATTCTGAAAATAATTACAATATTGTAATATAATTACTGACGAATAAAAGTGTTAAATATTTAAATATTCTGTTTAACTTTAATACAAAGTGACATATGAAATGCTCAAAATTTTCCTGGCAGTCAACACCAAAGAATATTTTGTCATAATCATCTTAATAGCTGTAGATATTGGGCATGTTTTATAATAATACAATTAAAAATAAATCTGTAAACGTGCATAAAAAATTAACTTTCTGAGGTAACTTATTAACACATTCGCGATCGCTGACGTAATTTACGTCGTTTCAAATTCTATTCTTTCAAAATATTTTATTCTGATATTCTTCTACGTTTTTCGATTTGCAACTTCTTTAAAGCAAAGTTCTTCATTTCGAAGAGATCGTTACAAGACCAGTATTTCAAAACAAATTTTCTAATTCTTGTCCCAGTTTTAATGTCAGAAATTTGTAATAATTAACTTAAGATTTCCTCCATTTTTATCGGCAAGGGCTGTTCGAAAAGTGACAATTTTTCCGATCGCCAATGTGTTGATTCACACATCACAGTAGAATTGTTTATACAGCGGTGTAACTTAACGACTAGCTCCACCGTAACTGAAGGATTGAAATCGTACTGGAACCGAGTTGAGTAGTATAATTAACAATGCTGCCAGTGACATAGCAGTAGCAACGGTGATTAAAGAGGTCCATTCAGCCACAGCTTCTTTGTCGGCGTAAATCTGCTCGTTTATCAATCACGGGAGACACGAGACGCGCAAAAACTGGCGCATAATGGCGGAAAATGTTTGCTTTGATCAAGCGGAGACAGCCACTTAAAGCAAAACGGAAGTTTCCACTGAAAGAATTACCCACGCTAGGCTCGCTAAAGACATGTTTCTCGAAACGTGGCGAGTCTAAGTTGTGGCTTCGCAATCTCGCTGCGATGTCCTTTGATCGAGGAATTACAAATTGAAAAACTGGCAACTGTAACAGTAATATTTGTTTTCAACGCAAATAATATCTTTTTTTATGATTTTCTCTCGTGTGATTGAAACCAGTTTGTCGATGGAAGTGTTAGATAACCGAATAATTTTGTCTTTGTATGAGGAAATGCGTTGTAAACTTCAATTTATCGTTATTATTATTGTTGATGTTATTATTATTAATGTGTTGTTGTTATTATCAGTCTTGTGTGGCTTTTATTTTCCGATAAGTGAATGTAAACATTACAAAAATAATAAAGATGTAACAATTAATAAAAACAAATAAAACAGTATTAAAAAAGATTATTATAATTATTAAAATAATTTTATTCACGACTCTTATATTAAAATTCTTGTATTCAAGTTGTAGTTACGTAAAGTAAAATATTTTTATCAATAATAAGTCTTAAAGTCTTCTATAAATTTCGTTCGTCTTTTTTCTTTGTTGTTTACTTTGTCAATAACATTGATAATTTCTTAAAGGAATTATTTGAAAAAATGTTATTAAAAAATATGTCTTAATAATTATATCTGAAAGAAATACTTGTAATTACATACTGGCTGCCATTTACCTCAAGTACAGAATTCAAGTAGAAAATTTCATAAAGAATATAAGATTGTTTCATTAATATAAATTAAGGAATAGTTTCGGAAAGAAATAAAAGCAAGCATAAATTAATTTGCCAATTTTATACAGATACAGAAGAATATTTAGCACTAGAAGGAGCCTCAGTGTCAGTGCTGAAAGAAAAATGTCTTGGAGCTATAAGCTTACGTTCTAGAAAATAACTATTCCGCTTCAATAGCTTGAACAATGGCTTCGATCCTTTTAAGCGTTTCCGCAATGTGTACAAGACGTACTAGTCCATTCACATTGAAACGTTTCCCTCCAGTCTCAACATTACGGGACTGTTAAGCAGTAATGTTAAGTGGCAATCTTGACTTTCGTCATTTCTATCTTAAACGGGCGCAGTAAAGCTCAGCGTAGGATAAGGAAGCATAAAGCTTCGGTACATAATATAAAATCTCTCGTAATACTGAGGGTTGTTAATTTTCAAATAGTCTGTACTATCTCGCAGATGAAATTCAGATTATCGTGCAGTCTTCTTAAAATGAATGCATCAAACACTCGTTTCGGATTAAATTAATCTTCAAACATTATCATCGAAATAATTTCTATACAAAGTGTATTGAAAAAACGATTCTCTGGGAATCAATGTTCAGATAACGTGTAATCGAGAATAAAGCAAAAGGACAGTTGATATGAATATAAAATTTAGCATGTAAACAACATAACAGAGTCCCTTGTTGGAGATAATCAATTTGTTTATTCTGTTACTTAAAGTATTGTAAGTATTTGCAGAATTAAAATTAATATATAAATTTTATCTTGTAAAATATATCGATATAAATTTAAAGATAGGGAGAGATAGGTACATAACTGATAATCATTGTTTTCATAGTGTAATTTTAACTTCAAAATTATTTTATATGTTTAGTATTTCGTAAAATACTTCATACTTAAAGCAACATTTAATAGTATCGTACGATTTTTCGTACATTACTTTAAAATATATATAATACTAACTTTCCTTTCTGCCGAAAAAATTCATATACCACTCGAATACTAATCGCTACACAACTCAACGAATTAACACCTCAATTATATATAGTCGTGTGAGTTCCTAATTCAAAAGTAATCATGCTTATTTAACAGTGTTTACCGAAGATCTCAACAGACTTTTAAAATTTCAACCAGATCCAAAAGGATGTCAAGAAAAACATACAGCACTGTAGTAATTTTAAAATCACTATAGGAAAAGTCGACAATTCAACTCAGGAGAAACAATTAAACATAGAAAACGATTTTAAGTTCACATCTTAAATGGTGTCTTTTAACATCTTCAGTAAAAATAGTGTCAATACCTTTGTACAATCCTGTAAATACCTTATCCAATAGGAAGAAGTGTCTCATCAGTAAAACTGTCCATCTCCACAATTCCTAAAAAGAAGCCAAAAGCAAAAATAATGCACATGAAGAAATTGTACCCTTAGGTGTCTTTGTAAATCGTCTCAAATCTGGACTGAAACGTAACCCCTGGTCCCTGATCAACCATGAAAACCACACTACCAACAGAAAACACCCATCTTGACACGTGCATATTTTTTCGACTATCGCAGGGGTGACCATTCTGCTGTCGCTGACAGTTTTCCTGAACCTCGTGGCAGAAAGCATGCCGACGACCTCGGACGCTGTCCCTCTAATAGGTACCTATTACAAGAACCACGATAATTAAGCATCCGGCTCTGGCAAGCGTTGTGTTACAATGTCCGTCTGTTTTCGATGTCGCTCTGTGTAAATATTTCTACATATATGTATATGTATATACACATGTATATGTACGTGCGTTATATGTATATACAAGCAACCGTATTTGTGCCTGACGTTAAGTATCCTGTTCGAGAGGCAGCTCCCTTGAGAATCTCCGGATGGGGAGAGAGCGTGAAAGAGAAATCATGTGGGACGGTAAGAACCTCGAAGGTCGTTCAGAGTTCCGGGACAATTTTGTTATTTTCGCCGGGGTGAAAGAC